TGTATCTAGATACACCAACTTAACACTTTTACACATTTGCCTTAACTCTAGCTGCATACATAATAATGACACATCATTCCTAAATACTTGAGCATGTAACTCCTGAGAACAAGGGCATTCTCCTAAATAATCACAACTATCACATTCAGAAAAATTAATATTAGTAAAATACTATTATCTAACACATGGACCAAATTCATATTTCCTCAGTTATTAATATTCCTTAACAATATTCTTTAAAACTGTTCCCTACCCTACCCACTACTGGAATCTAATCAATAACCACTTGTTGAATTTAGTTACACTGTCCCCTTAGTCTCTAATCTAGAACCACGCGGGTAAAGTGTTGTTGGGACTACATTGCTCCCTCCCTGGAAGCTCTGGAGGAGAATTTGCTTTCAGGTTGCTGGCAGACTCAGTAAAATGCAGTTCCCATTTCTCTGCTGGCTTTTGGATGAGGGCTGTCAGCTTCTAGAGGTTATCTGCATTCCTTGGCTTGTGGCTACCTTCCACCATCTTCAAAGCCACTGATGCCTGACCAAGTCCTCCTCACACTTTGAATCACTCTCACCTCCCTTCTGCATCATGTCTCCTCTATCTTCTTTTACCACGCAAGCTTGAGAAAGTTCTCTGTTTTTAAGGTCTCAAATGATAAGGTTGAGCATACCAAGGAAATCCAGGATGACCTCCATATTTTACGGTCCATGACCTTGATTACATATGCGAAGTCCCTTCAGAACAGAACCTAGATTACCGCTTGACTCAATAACAGGGGATAATAATTTTGAAGAGCGGGGCATCTTTTAATATTCTGCCTACCACAAGTACCTCCATATGATTGTTCGAGAATTACATTAGGTAACGTATGTAAAGCCCTTAGAACTGTGTTTGGCATGTAGCACTCAGAATCTATGCCAGAAAATAGCCACGTCCTCAAAGTTATTGGACTTGATTAAAAGTACTAGTTAGCTTAAAAACATAGTCCCTGAATGAATTAAATTATTTCTTTCCTATGGAAGTCTGATGAAAAGATAGGACACTGGCCAGTGCACTCATTCTGTTTATCAGGGGATATTTCTCTGTAGTGCTTGGCTGCCATCAGATTGTGTTCCATGGAGGACTGTGCGCGCACACACACAGAAACACACACACACACTCTTATGCATACACACATATGTAAATCTTAACTATATAAAGGTGCTGCCAAAAGCTGAAAAGACGTATTAAAAATTAATTTTTGTGTTTGTCTGTATTTTTCATGCATTCTTTTAAATTTTTTTAAAATTTAAATTAGATGTGAATGTCCCTTCCCAAAGATCTTCTGATTCAATTTGGGGAGAGTAAAATGTCAGTAGTGTTTAGGCCAGTCTCTGCCAATTGTTACTCTTGTTCTTGGGCTTGTGACACGCCAGTAACACATGTGATCAACTGCTTATTTTTAAGACCTCTATCTTACAAAACATCAGACTTATGCAAGCTCAGACTTGGAAAAAACAGATTTTATAAATAGAGTCCAAAAAAGTGCTATATTAAGGATGCGTAGGCATCACTTTGGTTTTATTTTTATCTGATGTCATGTAAGTAGGGTATAGAAATCTGAACATGCTTTTGGAGCTCTTACAACAAACCTAGTACTGTCAGGTGTGTAGGAGGGGGACGTCCACAGAACTAGGGCATGAACTCTAATCTCACAAGAGTTACTTTCTATTGGAGAAAACAAAATTGGCACATGAAGCAAATAAGATTTCAATCTAGGCTTTTATTTTAGGGCCTTTTTCATGTCGTGTGATATAAATTCAACTCAAACTAGCCTGAGCAAAATAGCAGAAACGATCGTCTCACAGGGGTGGCCTCTGAAATGTAGAGGTTGAGCCAGCCTCAGTAATATCACAGAACCGTGAGATTTGAATAGCAAAAGGGCCCAATCTTTGTTGCTCAGTTGCGATTTGGCCTTCTGTGTGTTGGCTTCATTCTCTTAGTCTTCTTTATATGTTGTGGGGAGGGGTTTGTGCCTATGGACATATGACCACCAGCATCTCCAGGGTCACAGCCTATGGCTCATGACTGAAGGGGAAAGAGGAAGCTTCTCTTCCATCTCAAATCTCAGCAAAGGACTCTCATACACCACCCCATTGGCCCAATACTGGGTGTTGGGTGGTGCATTACAATTTTTTTCCTATTCCCCCTACTGTGGCCACAAGAGGTAGACTTTTGTGATTGGCAGAGTCACTAGCAGCAAAAGGGGTGAAAAGATGCAGCCTACGAGATATAGAAGTGAAGATAATGCAGCAAAATTTGGATGAAGAGATGCTGGGGAAACAAAAACAACAGATGTCCCTTAAACACATTTACGACACTATACTGCATTATATAATCAATAGGTGTAATAGGCAGAATAATGGTCTCCTACCAAAGACACCAAGGTCCAAATTCCCAGAATTTGTGAATATTATGTTACACGGCAAGGAGGTGTTAAGATTGCAGATGAATTTAAGTTTGCTAATCAGCAGACCTTAAAATAAGGAAATGTTCCTAGGTGACCCAGGTGCGTCCAGTGTAATCACAAGGTCCTAAACGTGGCAGAGGAATCAGTGTCAGGGAGAAAGTGAAATAATATGAGAAAGACTCAGTAGGCCATTGCTGGCTTTGAAGATGGAAGGAGGAGAACCAAGGAAGGCAAGTGGCCTCTAGAAGCTAGAAAAGAAAAGAAAAAAGATTCTTCCATATAGCTTCCAAAAGAAACACAAACGTACCAGCACCTTGATTTTAGCCCAGTGAGATGCATTTCAGACTCTGACTTTCAGGCTGTAAGATATTAAATTTGTGTTGTTTTAAGCCACTAAGGTTAAATGAGATCACATTTGTAAAGCACATGGCAAAGTTCCTGAACACAATAAGTACTCAATAAATACTAGACCCTACTCTCATCACCATGATATTCAATCCTCAAAAGAACCTACAAGTTATCCAGATCACACATTATCTCCACTTTGAAGTTGAGAAAATGGAAGTTCAGGAATGTTAAGCAGGATTACCTAGCTAATAGGTAAGACTTCAAATTCTGGTTTTAATTTAGTCTGCAATCTAATTTCAGAGAGATCCAGAGGGATTCAGAACTCCCAGTGTACCTGCTGAAATCCTTTTCCAGCTGCCTTGTGCTAACTGAATGTTCTATTTGTACTCCAGGCTCTTCAAGAATATAGGTGACTGTGTGTGTGTTTGTGTGTGTGTGTGTGTTATGATGGTGTTGGGGGGAGTGGATATGGTGGTCATCTATGGGCAGCATAAGCAAAAATGCAGAACTGGAATGAAGCATGGTCACTGATCCTGGAATCATAGAGATGTTAGAACTTAAAGCAGAGGACACAAATTCTTAGCTTTGGGGCCAAATCTGGCCTACCTACCCACATATTTAAAACAAAACCAACACAGAAAATAAAACAAACTATACTGGAAATGGAATGCATATAGGTAGGTTTTACATGTTCCATTTTGTCACCGTCCCACCTTCTTCTGGCCAATTCATACATTCACCTGCAACCTGCAAGGCATAGTTTTTAACCTTTGGCTTAATGGGACCTTATAGACTCCCATTAAAAAAATGAGATGTAAGTAGGTTAAGTGCCTGGCTATAGAAACACAACAATATTATGGAAGTCACGATTTCTGATCGAGGCAGGGACAGTTTTTAATCCATACTATGGACAGATGAGGGCCACTTATATAAGGTTTTGATAAGCTGTGCAAAAAGGCTATGTTTTAGGATTTTTTTTTGCTAGTGTGACACAGGCTAAAGGCAGATGACAGGGTACATATACATACAGCATGAAGCCAGCTTAACACACTCCTTTTAAGATAAATAATATAAAATAGAGAGTAATAATGGTGGTGTGCCATGAATGAGTTACAGGCGTGTAGAGAAATTTATCCCCAGCCAGAGGGAAAGCTGGGTGGGGCCTCATCCTAGATTTTCCTTGGACTGGTTATGATTGTGATGACAACCTGATTTGATTGTCAGATGTTATATAAATACCAAATGTTGGGAAGAGGGTATAGCTTGGTGGTAGAGAGCATGCTTAGGATGCATGAGGTCCTGGGTTCAATCCCCCGTACCTCCACTGAAAACAAGTAAACCTAATTACCTTCCCCCCCAAAAAAGACC